TACTACATGAAAATGAAAATTAATGAATACACTGTGTACAGTAATTTACCTGATAAGACAGACCTCAGAAAAATACTTTATGAGAGCTTTTATACTTTTATAAAGCTGTCTATAATGAAAATTAATTAACTAAGGATTTTTTTGCTCTGCCAGGATGTGCCCGAGTTATCCGGAGTGCCGGGTTATCGAGAGCCGAGTTTTCGAGGTTCTACTGTATAACCCATGTGTCATACTGCCGTAATCGAATAAAACTAAACTGATTTAATCTCTATTTGCTGAAGAAAAATATCCTATAACAAAATTTTATACAGAGTGAGGATTCTTAAGCTCTTTCCATTCTGTAAGGCTATCTGATTGTCCTATGGATAATAAGAGGATCTTATTGATATTTCCATCTTCATTATGGATTCATCCAAATCCACAACGGGAGCAATGTTGTGGATTTGGATACAGAACATTCTACTCATGACAAATTCTTTGTTTTCACAAAATGCCATAAAGGATGCACTTTGTGAACATGAAGTTCCACAAACAAAGTACTCTTATGTCCACGAAGTTTCACCAAATCTCCAGGAGCAGCAAGCTGATGTAATTACCAGTTCAGCTATCTTGCTATCATTCAAAGTGAGTTATGAAGTTGAATTTCATCATAAACTACAATTCTTTGCCAATGCATAAATGTATATCTATACATTTATTCTATTTGTATGTCATAAAAAATGTTATGTAATTAAGAGTTCAAACAATGGTGGCAACAATATTGAATGTACAGATAAGCTAATTCTTAACAATTGCAAAGTGACAACCAATGAAATGATGAGTATAACAAATATGTCATCTATAAACATACACAATATCTTGAGTAAATATGATATATCTGTCTCACTGTTACAGAAAAACTTTTTATGGTAGCAGTAATAGTATAACAAAAAAGATTCATAAATTTGTATCAGTCTTTGAAACAAATGTCTATTTAGTGAGAAATAAATGTATGAGTACATAAGTTGTGGCCATAATCTTCCTCTACAATAATACATGTAGGGGAAAAAAAATATAAACAGAAAAATAGATTTTTCATATTTATTTTTTCTTATATTAGAAAATTATATTTAAAATTAAAAAGAAAAAAAACCATTATTCTAAAAGTTAAGAATGCAAGGCAAGTCTCTTAAAAAATTTACATATTAATGCAATACATACAAAAATTACATATTTAATGTCTTACCTCAGAAGCAGTTTTCCCAATTGGTATTAAGTCATTATCTTTCTGAGAAATACTTGTTAACTATAAAAACAACGAAAAAATAAATGAGATTTCAATTAAAAATCTGTAAGAAAACTTAACATTTCTTTAATATTATTATTATTTTTGTAGTGAGTAGTTAAGAAAACTTGACTTGATAACTGAAAAAATATTTCAATCATCAAGTCAACTTATCAGTTATCAATTTTTCTTAACAACTTCAACAAATATTGCTAACAGCAGTTGTGGTAACATCAACAACTTTTAAAATATAAAGTCATGCATAAAGGCAACATCACCTAGGATTATCTTCATTTGAAGCTTTAGAAGACTAACATAAAAATATGAAATTTTTTGAGTCTTTCTTTTTCTTTTTATCCTTTTCACAGACCAACTCAGAAATAACAGTAAATTAGCTTGAAGATATAACAAATCTTTAGAAATTTAGAATATGACCCAAAACCAGAGGCCAAGCTGTTCCATTTCCCAAACACTGGTAGCTAGGTCGTGGGTTCGCACGTCACCAGGACGAGCTGGCCAAGTGGAGTTTTTATGGTTTTCACCATGTCTTTAATGCCTAAACAGGTTGCAGACCTCCTGGAAGGCATTCCCCCTAAGCAGATCACCTAAGCATAGCATTGCGATAACATAAATAGTAAAATCGCACTTAGGTAGCCCTATGGCACTAAGATCAGTTTTTAACACATATCAGTCTACCACCTATTCTACATGCTTCGCATGTAGACATGTGCCTTGGTGCTCGCTATCGCTCACACCTCGGCGCCCAGGTGGAGGCGAGCCCCACACCCCCTAAAACTGTATAACATCAAGTACTCCACAAACAGCCAAGTGGGTTACTTAAAACCAGAATAGTCAAGTGGGCTAAACAATTAAACGCAATAGTCTTGGAAGTACCGCCATTGGGATTACCTAGATGCACTTCAACCACATAAACAAAACAAACAGCGAATATGACCTTTGGCACTGCCAGGATTTGACCTTTGATCTGCGCAGTTTTAACGAGTGTTTTCAATGTTATACAACTAAAATAAGTGTGATAGAAGACGAATTTTCAAATTTATAATTAAAATATATACTTTAATGTAGTTTTATTTCCATTCAAACTAATTTTTAACGAATTAGAAATGAATTCTCACCCAATCTTGGTGTTCTTTTTCGAGTTGAGTTAATTCGGTTTCGTCGTCGCACGGTCGATCTACCGAAAACCAAGAAGGATCGGCCACTCTAGGAGTTAAATTCGGAAATAACGGCGTAGTCATAGCTTTAATATGTTATGTCACTCGACAATAATCAAAACTTACGTAGAAGACGAATCTTCCGCCATATGCTGAATACCCGCCTCCTGGCGTGAAAAAACGAACTACCGCAATTTTTATTATAAAATTATACTTGTAACATTAACGCCTTAATTATATTTTATTAATTAATTAATAATAATTTTTGAAATTAAATTATAAAATTCGCTTGAACTTAAATGAATTTTGGATGAAAAATTACGGTTGGGACTCGACCAATTAGCGTTTGTGTAACATAGTAAAATGAATGCTAATTGGATGACTACTGACTCAGGTTTTTAATCGTGTAAACTTTACTTTTCTGGAATCGAATTCGGATCCTTTTCGTGGATTATGATGGACTTTCGAAATTATATTGAACTAGACGATTTCTTACAGCCAAGCAATCTGTGTTTAGTTTTGGATCTTTAGAAGCATTGATGAAGCATTATGCTTTATAACTTATATCGTAGTATGCAAGATAATAATTTTGAACAAATATTATAATCAACATGTACTATTATTTAATCGACGATCTATCATTCCACTCGGCGATCGCCATTCTTTCTTCACGGAAAAAAAAATGCTTGAGACTGATACGCCAGCCAAAAGCTTCTTATTGCCTCGTCAAAGATGGATTTTGTTCTCGCAACTGAGCTTGGATATTAATAACAAATTCATTAAGAAATTTCATTTTCTTAAATTATCTGAAATTTTACATCATATTCAGCAACCAGGTGGCGCGGAATTCGCTACCCACGTGGCGTAGAGGAGGCGTGGACCAAGTTCTTAGATTATAACCTAAGATCTTTGGTGTGGAGTGATTTGTTTATAGCAGAGGATATTATTATATATTCTGTTTATAATTTCTGCTAACTGATAGTGCAGGAACTACTCGATTTTTACGAAAATCTGTTGTATTCTCTTCTAACATATCCATTTCTCCGGGATATTTTTTATAATATTCGTCACAATCACAACATGCATTAATACTAGAATGTAATCAGTACAACTATTGGCTCGTTTATCAAATTATTAGCTGTATATAGACCTATTTCGTAATTGCGATAATTATAGATAATCAGAATATTTTTATTTTGGACTTTGACCTCGAACCTTGTTATTTTAATCTGTCAGTGTGTTTACATGATCTTTGCAATCTTACGAGACATGTTCGTTAAATCACACTAGTCTTATAATTATTTTTGCAATGTATTGTTTGAATGAGAAGATGGATGATTTTTATAGATTTAGTTATTTATTAAACACACTGATGGGATTCATCTCGGCAGTGTTAACAGCCATACATTGCATCAGCTTTAAAGTTAAATATTTTGTACTTGTTTATATGATTGGAATATTTTATGTACCTAAAGAATTCATTGGAAGAAAGTTTGGTTTATTCAAGTCGTTTCAATTTTCTGGTCAGTAAATATTTCAGTATTTACAATTTGAATAAGTAAATGCAGTAGAGTCTTGCAAACTCAACTTAACGTGGATTGAGAAGGTGGCAAACTGGACTGTGACGAGTTATAGAAAATGAGTTTTATGGACTCCTGTGTTAATGGTAAAATGGGAGAATCCTACGATGCTAATCTAAATAGCGGAATTTTTGTAAATGTATTATATGTGCAAACTCATGTACAAATTAACTGTGTACTTGTTTATGACTACAGTGGTACCTCAGGTTACGAACGCCCCAGCATACGAAATTTTCAGGATACGACATGAAATTCGAACATATTTTTGCTCCACGATACGAACAAAAACTCACCATACGACGTTACATTAGTTCGCATTTTTCATTTGTTTTTCTTACTACTGTTATTTTTTTAAATGTATTACTTGGCTTTAATTTGAGTATGTTTTTCACGTTGGAACGAATTATTTGGTTTTACATGTAATCGTATGGGAAAAGATGATCCACCTTACGACATTTTCATGATACGATCTCAGTTTCGTAACGGATTAATTTCGTATCCTGAGGTACCACTGTATTTCTTTGTAGTTAAATTTTAATTTAAAACGATAGTGGCTATTTGGTGGTAACTTTTGAGTTAATGACATTTGTGTTGTGACATATTGCAGAGAAAGGGTTATATTCTTTGTTAACACAAAGAATTGATGCTGTTATTGAGTTTTACCAGTGAAGAATGATAACTTGTTTGATCCTAAGGATAAATTACAGATTTAAAAATTAAATTATGTGTATTTTGTTTTTTAATGACATGATGAGTTTTACAGAATGTCAAGTTTTTCGAGACTCTACTGTACTATTAATTTAATATAAATTTTTATTTATTAATTAATAATATATTGTTTTGTTTAATTGTGAAGTCAATTATGAAGCATTGTTTTATTGGATTCTGAATTAGAGTATACAGTAAAATTCCAATAACACTACATCAACCACTGTATAACATCGGGCTATTTATTGGCAATAATTATAAATTACTAATAAATTTGACCCCAGAGGGATGTGTTTGATATACCACAGTCGATGTAGTTTTATTGTAATGTATTGAGTTTCGTAAGATGTTTATATTCAGTAAAATTCCAATTCTCTGATAAAACTCAAATTCTGCTTTATTGAAGCAACCAAGTTACGTAATTATTGTTTCTTTAGTATTTTTAGACAATGAAGTCCATTAAGGAGAAAACTTAAGAAGAAATACCATATCAAATTAGTGAATAGCTTCAAAGAATTTTCTAAGATATCTCCTTATGATGCACTTAATTACCCAAAAGAACTAGAACAGTAGTTTCTAATTGACTCGTGTGCTCCAATAAAGCAGAATTTGTCTTTTATTAATTAGAATATGCTTAAGATTATTCATTTTTTCTCTAATTTTAAATGAAATGTTAATATTTAATATTAGATATGCCTAGACAAGACAATAGATATTGTATAATTACTGGTGGGACTACTGGAATAGGCGCAGAAGTAACAACACACCTACTTTCTTTGGGAATGAATGTCATTATAGGTATGTTAAATTTTTTATTTTTAATAATAATAAAATACTTGACTTAAATCATTGAAATTAATATTTTATAATGTTTTATGTCACCAATGCACTATTATATAGCAAATTATTAAAGGATTTTATTATATTGGCATTTTTTGCAGGTACGTCTAAACTAGATGAAAAATTTTTTAAAGATCTTCAAAAGAAATATCCAGATTTGATTAGTAAGTAATGTAAAGTTGATTTTTATTAAAATATATCTTGATTAGGTGATTATAAATAAATTATAATATATATTGGTAACATTTTATAAATAATTTGCATGGAAAATGAATCAAAATGCACACAGATAAAGTTCAGTGTTGATGAAGGAATTTGTTAACTGATTTCTACTTTTCCTGACTCTGTTATATATAACAGAGAAAGTATGGCAATCGGTCAAAAAAATGAATCCCAAGATTTTTACATTTTTAGACTTGAGACCTTGAAATGTCAAGAAATGCAAAAAAATTTGGGTTTTTTTTTCTGTGTGTGGTGTGGGGGACATGATATTGTATAATTTCTTTGAAGCTTAAAAACTCCTGTGCTTTTTGTCAAAAATTTCTGAAATTTGCAGGAAGGTTTGTGTATTTTGGGGATTGATGTTCTCAAATTTTGGTGGTTAAAGGTCAGTAGGATGGGGAGATAAAGGTGAGTCGTGTGTTGTATCAAGTAGGGTCAGACTTAATGATGATTTTACTCATTATTAGCATTTACAAATTTTAATAAAATCCGTTCTTACGCTCAAAATTAAGCTTTTTGCCATTTTATAATAATAAAGAAATATAAAAAGTTTCTTAAATAAAATATAACAAATTTTAAATATTGCAGGAAAGTTAAGCAGCTGAATATTTTTTAGTATGTAATTATATCTAATCAAAAAAGTCATATCCATGTTTTAATTTAAATTAAAGCATTTAAGGATTTTTATAATACTATTAAATATTTATTTGTTCCATTGCAACAATTTAAAAAAGTAATTTAATATTTTAGGCATTTGGCATTTGGACTTATCATCTATGGATTCTGTACAAAAGTTTGCTAAGAAATATTTAAAGAAAAATTATCCACTTCATTTACTTATTTTAAATGGTACGTTGAGTTTTTACTTAATTTTTGAATTCTTGAATATGATAAAAATTGAATTTAAAATTGTGTAATTATTGTATTTTTGAAATGAAAAATGTATTTAATTAAATGACATAATGTTTCTTCAATAACAAAGTAATTCCAAATGATGAAAAATACTCATGTTTGACTTGTCTTTTTAGACACCTGTTGTTATTGTTTCTGTTGTCAGAACTGCTACAGGAACATTTACTCAATGGCTGGATGGCCAAGCAGTTAAGTTGGTAGCCTATTGCCTGAGAGATTCAGGATTGAATCTGGACAGGTCAAAAAACCTAGGAATTTTTCAGGTGTGGTCTGTCTGGATATGTCAGGCCCCATCCTTCACTCAGTTGCTCCATTATGGGCATGGCCGAACCTATAAGGAATTGCTAAAAAGATTCTTTTAGTGCCTACTGGGTAGAGAGTGTTTAAAAAAAGTAACATAAAAAGATACTTGGGTGATATACAAAATGGCACAGTTTAATTGTTTAAGTAGAATGGAATTGAAAATATATCTTAAATTTTTTAAGATATATTTTTTTCTAATGATAACTCTAATGTACTGTACCATTCACAGCCAAATATCAAATGGTAATCTGCCAACCAATCAAATTTTGCTAAAAATGGACCAAATATTTAAACTCGGCATACTCAAAAAGCACTTAAAACATATTTTGTGTTGCTTGGTAACCTTATATTATGTAATTTTCCTATTTGAATGCCTCCATAACGCTGGTCCTATAGAAAGAAAGGGCTGCTATGAAAGAGTCGAAGTTAATTTGACCAAAAATAATCTTTCACCTCCTGCTGGAAGAGAGGATGGTCAACAACTACTAATTTTTACTGGTCTACTATTACTATTTGAAAAGTGATCCGTGTTGGATGGATTGTGATGGCCTTGCATATGATCAAAGTTGCTAATGTCCAAGAGACTTCATATAAGATTTGTTTAAATTGCTTTTAAACTCTATAGAGAATAATTGCTTTAAGTGATGATAAAGAATTAAAGTTATTTATAAATGATTTGAAAGATCATAATTTCAAAAATATATGTAGTAACTCCCATTTTAACAAGATTATCAGAATAACTAGAATCTACAGGGAAGGTATGTTTTTGTAAATAGCGAGCTTATAGAAATGTTTTAGAATTAGTTTGGTTTATTTGGCTAAGGCAATGTGACATGTGGGCAATCTTTCAAGGGAGAAGCTTTTCAGGAGGACTTTTATGGGAAACTGGCTGCTATTTAAATGTTACTAACATGAAGAAAACCCAGAAAACACTACATGGCCAAATTATTGATGATGCATGAACCCACAACTAGTGTTCAGTGGTTTATCTAGTCAGCTACTGGTGGGCACTTATTAGAATTAAGAAAATACCTTTTCAAATGGTAATGGTAGACCAGTAGAAATTAGTAGTATCATCCTCTCTTCCAGCAGGAGGAGAAAGACTACTTTTGGTCAAAACTAACTTCAATCCCCTTCTGCAACAGGCCCTTCTTTTTATGAACAAGCAGTATGGTGGCATTCAAATAGGAAAATTACATAACACAAAGTTACCAGTGAGCACAAAATATGTTTCAAGAGATTTTTGAGGGTGCAGAGTATTGCACTTTTGCATTAATTTACATATGCAGTGCATATGTTTTGTTTATTTTAAGTGGATGAGCAGAAGATTCCATACTTATTTTCATGGCATTGTATGATTCCAAACTTTTTCACGATGAGTTTGTTATTTTTGTCCTAAGTAAATTTTTATTTTGCATTTAACTGCCATTTATTTGTTTAGGTTTTGCATATAGGAATATAGTTTTTACCAGTTCATTTCTGTAACAGCATACATGAAATTGCAGTAATAACACGAGAGAATTGTTAACACCAGATAATGTGAGTGGTGATTCCAAACTTGTTTCCAGGAATAGAATATTTAGATGCAACTTGAGGTAGTCATCAAAACTAAAACTTCATTATTAAGCAAAATTTCTCATCAAATATTTAAGAATGAATCAGAAAAATACAGAAATGCTAACAGACATTAAAACTTACTAATGCCTAACCTTTCATACATCTCCACGAATGAATATTTATCATAAATGTCTTTGTCCTCTTTTAGGGAACTGTTTCAATCTATTATTGAATGTTGGCTGAGACTTTTTAAATTTGGAATGTTTTATTAATTCCAATGTCTTCCAATGTCATATTGTTTGAATAGATTATAACATTTGTCTTACACTGATAAAGTTAACCAATGATACTATTAGTGATAAAAATTAAAGAATAGTAAGATGTAAATATTTAACATAATGACCACAAAATAGTATACGATATGCATGGAAATGTAATATTCAACTGGAATTCAAGGATTTATTTTTACACTTAAGGGGATTACTGACTAATGCATGCCAAGCATCAAACAGCACATCAGATTCCTTAGGATTAATGCAACTTCCATTGAAAGTTTTGTTAAATATTTCCCAAGACTAAAGTTTTGAGTTTGTATTTTTTATTTATATAATTTATGTGATGTAAACCTAATAATTTCTGTATGGAACATCGTTTAAACATTTAAAAATCAGAATGCAGCGAAGTTCGAAACTTAGAAGGATAGAACTGTTTTTTGTTTTTTGTGCATTCATTCCTGATGAGGGCCTCTAACAGACGGTTGAAAACATTTAAACACTAAAATTTCTTTGTTTATTATATGCTGGAATTTACATTTAGGTGTCAGTTAGTTGATCAAATACCTGTTTTATTAGCCTTGCTTCTTTCCAATTAACTGACATTGCAAGAAGTGTGAGAAAAGTGTGGTGTTAGTAATTGGTTCCAGCTTCTGTAAAGTGATAAAAATAAATGACTGCAAAAAACTGTTAATCTTAAATAAACTACCATCACAATAACCAAAAACCAGCAGAAATTTGAAGATAATGGCTGCATCACTTGCAGCCATTAACTTCAAAGATGAAGATTCATTCCTTTAGCTTGGAAGATCTACTTCTCATCATAATTGCGTGGCCTACAAGACTGTCAAGGTGCAAAGTCTGCCAACAAATAAGCCTCTGTATTTTGAATTGAGGCATTCTTGTCTTATGCAATTTGGATTTAGAACGTTAAGATCCTGAAGATGTTCATTTAATATGGAGGAAAACGTTTTCTAATGTGAGTTCTTTACCATTTCTGCAGGTTTTTGGTTTTTTGTGATGGTAGTTTACATAAAGTGATCAAATGAAATCAAACTTTGGAATGTAAATTGCTTTTAAGAGAAATAAACTTAATACAACTTTTAATTCAATAATTATTTTAAAATTTATTATTTATCTTTCGTTAGAGATTTGATAGATTGTTTCATCAGAAAACGTACTAATTTAATTAATTTTTTGAACATAGATTTAATAACTTATAACAGTTATTGACAAGACTATGTCTTGTTTATAAAATTGTACTGCCTGCTGGGTTTCCAGCTTAGAGGTATGAAGGTGTACATGTCAGGAGATGCAATTTAGCACAGAGTATTAGGTGCCTAAATCAAGTGCACATTAAAAAAACCAGACTTGTAGATACACGAAGGACTGAGAACCGAGTCAAAATAAAATGCGAAATGGCGACACACTCTACAAACAGGCAAACCAAAGTCGGGTGGTGAGAGTACCACCCACAGTAGTTCTAGGAAGTGGACTCTTACCCTAGGACTGAACATATAGTATTTTCTTTGTTAAATAAAATTTGTAATCTATTTTGTAAATTTGGGAGTGCTTCAAATATGACATTAAAACAGGGCTTTATGTCATTACAAATAGGTTCTTTAACATTATCTAGTATAGTAAAATTGGGGACCAATAAAAATTTGACATTATATTAGGGTTGTCATTACATCTGATGACGTTATAATCGGGTTAAACTGTATATTGTTTGTGCAAAATAAAAAGTAATTTCGGACGATACAATAGCCACAATTATTTTTTTCAAAAACGGGAAATTTTTGTTATGCATCAACAAAAATTCAGCCTGGACCAACATGCAATGGAGAGAAATTTCGAAATTGGACAGGTTAATTTCATCGAAAATGCATTGTGGATGACCTCGTGGTCTTGGCTGGCAAAGTTTGAATGATGGCACCCAAAAGCAGTGACCCCAAAGAAGATTGGAGAATGAAAACGAGACCCGGCTTGAGTGTCAAAGTGATTCCACTTAGTAGTGAGTCTCTGAGACATAGTCTTGTCCCAAATACAGTTTTGCCATTTTACTTGTATAATACAAGGATGGATCAAATATAAACGGTAATTTTTTTAGACATTTATTGATTAATAATATACACAAGTGAAAACTTTAGTTCTTCTCTACATATCCTCCTGCAAGCTCTACACACTTTTGCCAATGATTTGAAAGCTTCAATATCCCTCTCTCATAAAAAGATTGAGGGCAAGTTATGAGTCAATTGCGCACGTGCTCCTCGACTTCTTCATTGCTTTTGAATCGTTGTCCTCCAAGTGATTCCTTCAAGGCTGCAAACAAAAAATAGTCACAGGGGACAAGTCTGGACTATAAGGAGGGTGTTTGAGAATTTCCCTGCCCATTTCAACCTGATCTGTTTTTGATTTCCGGTCAACAACCTCAGAACCCATCGGGCATTAATTTTTCTGAAGCCAAGATGATCAGTGATAACGGATTGAACACTCCCTAGCTGATACCCACTTCTGATGAATTTCTTCAATAGTTAACAAGCAATCACATTCAATAAGCTTTTGAACGCACGGATGTTGTCATCTATAAGGCTTGTCCTTGGGCGTTGATCATGACCTTCATTTTTGACACGTTCTCGCCCACCCTTAAATTCTCTGGCCCATGTATACACATGATTCTGAAGGCACAGTTTGGGGACAGTACATTGTCTCAATCGGCTAAAAATTTCCAAGGGTTTAATGCCCTCATTAGTTAAAAACTTTACAATGATATGTTGTGCAACAGACAAATGTACCTTTTGCTCGGTCATGGCTATATTGACGACAGAACCGAGCACGCTTGTTAACCAAGCCAGTTCTCCCACTCCTCACAAACCAAATATCAGCTGCACTACATCATCTAGCTAGGAATTGCATGGTAAGCAGAATAGCAAAGTTACTGTTTATATTTGATCCACCCTCATATATAAGAGGACAGTTGTGTACTGTTGAAAGTAATTGCATGATAAATTATTTTTATGTAATGGTGACAGACAGTACTGTACATTATTTATTTTTCTTATAATATAACATTTACTTAAAATGAAAATATTTTATGTAAATCTGAATTATATTAGAATAGATATTTTGTAATAATTTTCTCTTCCATATGTAGCTGGAATAATGTTTGCTCCATATGAAATAACTGAAAATGGCTACGAGAAACATTTTGCCGTTAATTACTTAGGTCACTGTTTGCTAACTAAACTCTTGTTTAAAAAACTCAAAGCATCTGGTTCAGAAGAAAAATTTGCAAGAATTATTAGTGTGTCCTCCAGTTGTCATTTTGTAGGAAAAATTAACTTTGATGATATTCAAAGCAGGTAAGATATAAAAAGATTGAGTTGTAATTTTACATAGTCTTATTTTTAATAATATACTCTTTTATATTACAAATAATTATACTTAGTGTGTTCACAAAGCAACTTCTGATCAAGGTGTTAGTAAAAACTGGTCCTCACTTCTCAGGTGTTATGGTATGATGACAGGTACAAATGCCATACTTTCACATATTTCACGATGTACAATGAGGGGGACATTTGTCCCAAACTGTGGGAAGGAGTATACAGGAATATTTTATCGGGTGAAGGCAGATCATGAAAATATGGGAAGTATTGGAAGTGTAGTGTGTATATTTAACATCTTGTTACTGCAATAACCAAGTGATGAAAGTCAGAGTTTTGCAAGGCATATATATGTATCTTTATATTGTATTTGATAGATATTTAATCATTTTATATTTTATTCGTATACAAAAATACAGTAGTATGATATAGAGGGGTATAAGATTGAACATTAATCTTTGTTTATACATGACAATAATTGTAAAAATAAGTAGTTAACAAGACTTTATTTTATTTTGAACAGTCAAGTGTATTCGCCTTATTTTTGTTATGCTCAATCAAAAGTTGCTCAAGTTATGTTTACGTACTCTTTGCAACGTTATATCTCATCACAGAATGGCTGCATCACCGTGAACAGTCTTCATCCTGGCGTTGTTTATACCAATCTGTATCAATATGTTTTTTGGGTAAATAAATGGACTGCATTTCTTTTTAGGGTAAGTCAATATTTTGTAATATTTAAAATGAAAACAAAAGTTAGGAGCAATTCCATCTTATTAAATAAACATCAAAGCTTTGCTTTTCTAGAGTTAGCAGAAAATAACATATTCTCACTCTTAGTCTATATCAATTAGACACATATATATGAGGGTTTATCACACCAGTGTGATAAACCCTCATATATATGTGTCTAATTGATATAGACTAAGAGTAAACAACGTTAAGGGCTAAAAGCAATTAATTATTCAATTAAACATATTCTCACATAATAAAACCAAGCACTTTTTGGCTATAAACATCCATCATCTGGAGTATATCTCCCTTAAACCTATTCTTCTAATGTAGTATTCTAAATAATTTGAAATTTAATGTTTATCTTTTTTAAGCAGACAACTTTTCACTATTTGCTGTCACTATGGATTAAAGTGTAGCAGTTTTTTAATTTATAGATTTTATACCTTATAATTTTTAAAACAAACCATATTTATTCTAAGTCACTAATGTGTTTGCATATATACATATATATAAAGTCTTATATACTGTATAGTATAACATTATAAGAAATATTCCTTTTAATCTTATATTAATACATACCATATTTTATTCAAAATCAGTATTGAAAAAAAATGGGCTTTATATTTTTAAAATAAAAAATGTAAAAAATTACAGAATATATTAATATACAGATTATAATCAATTTGAATTTTATAATAATAGTATCACTTGCATTTTTATATTTGAAGTCTGCAAGGCGGCTGCATTGTAAGATGTCGACTTACTGTCTTTAGGGATACGGATTTGATTTTTGTGATTTGTATGAACTGGGACATCATTCCCATTCCCAATTCTTGCTGGTTGACTCTGTCTTAGGTCAGGTTCATCAGTGATGAGCATTACTGAGGCTGACCAAAAGATGTATAGTTTGCTGGAGTCTTGTATTAATCAGTAAATTAGGTTTGAGAAAAACAGTTTTACAGATATAATTTTCAACATATAGGAAATAAAAATACTCCCTAAAGGAGAATCCAGTTTTTAGTGGAATTGAGGCAGACGTAAGCAGAAAGACTATCAACCAATGAAAAATATTATATTATCTATATTCTAATTAAATTACCATTATTATATTTTTTTTATTGACAAAGTATTATCAGATTACAAGGGAGAATGGTTGATGGCCAAATGTCTGAGCAGTTAGGGTGGCAGCCTACTGCTCTGGAGAACCTGGGATCAAATCCAAAAAGTTGAAAAACTCAAGGAATTTTGGGGGCTGGTCCACCTGAATATGTTAGGTTTCATCCCTCACCACCTGGCCACCTCATTGTGGGACTTGCCAAATTCATAATGGGCTTGTTAAAAAAGGCCCTCTTAACAAATGCAAATAGGTGGGGTGTCAGGGGAGCTAATACAGTGAAAACTGCTTAGGCGACCACCTGCATTCGTCGGGCACCTGGCAAAACGGGCAAAAATTTCTGGCACGGAATAGTTTATCCATAGAGCGTCTAAACTAGATGAAAAATTTTTGAAAGATCTTCAAAAGAAATATCCAGATTTGATTAGTAAGTAATGTAAAGTTGATTTTTATTAAAATATATCTTGATTAGGTGATTATAAATAAATTATAATATATATTGGTAACATTTTATAAATAATTTGCATGGAAAATGAATCAAAATGCACACAGATAAAGTTCAGTGTTGATGAAGGAATTTGTTAAATGATTTCTACTTTTCCTGACTCTGTTATATATAACAGAGAAAGTATGGCAATCGGTCAAAAAAATGAATCCCAAGATTTTTACATTTTTAGACTTGAGACCTTGAAATGTCAAGAAATGCAAAAAAATTTGGGTTTTTTTTTCTGTGTGTGGTGTGGGGGACATGATATTGTATAATTTCTTTGAAGCTTAAAAACTCCTGTGCTTTTTGTCAAAAATTTCTGAAATTTGCAGGAAGGTTTGTGTATTTTGGGGATTGATGTTCTCAAATTTTGGTGGTTAAAGGTCAGTAGGATGGGGAGATAAAGGTGAGTCGTGTGTTGTATCAAGTAGGGTCAGACTTAATGACGATTTTACTCATTATTAGCATTTACAAATTTTAATAAAATCCGTTCTTACGCTCAAAATTAAGCTTTTTGCCATTTTATAATAATAAAGAAATATAAAAAGTTTCTTAAATAAAATATAACAAATTTTAAATATTGCAGGAAAGTTAAGCAGCTGAATATTTTTTAGTATGTAATTATATCTAATCAAAAAAGTCATATCCATGTTTTAATTTAAATTAAAGCATTTAAGGATTTTTATAATACTATTAAATATTTATTTGTTCCATTGCAACAATTTAAAAAAGTAATTTAATATTTTAGGCATTTGGCATTTGGACTTATCATCTATGGATTCTGTACAAAAGTTTGCTAAGAAATATTTAAAGAAAAATTATCCACTTCATTTACTTATTTTAAATGGTACGTTGAGTTTTTACTTAATTTTTGAATTCTTGAATATGATAAAAATTGAATTTAAAATTGTGTAATTATTGTATTTTTGAAATGAAAAATGTATTTAATTAAATGACATAATGTTTCTTCAATAACAAAGTAATTCCAAATGATGAAAAATACTCATGTTTGACTTGTCTTTTTAGACACCTGTTGTTATTGTTTCTGTTGTCAGAACTGCTACAGGAACATTTACTCAATGGCTGGATGGCCAAGCAGTTAAGTTGGTAGCCTATTGCCTGAGAGATTCAGGATTGAATCTGGACAGGTCAAAAAACCTAGGAATTTTTCAGGTGTGGTCTGTCTGGATATGTCAGGCCCCATCCTTCACTCAGTTGCTCCATTATGGGCATGGCCGAACCTATAAGGAATTGCTAAAAAGATTCTTTTAGTGCCTACTGGGTAGAGAGTGTTTAAAAAAAGTAACATAAAAAGATACTTGGGTGATATACAAAATGGCACAGTTTAATTGTTTAAGTAGAATGGAATTGAAAATATATCTTAAATTTTTTAAGATATATTTTTTTCTAATGATAACTCTAATGTACTGTACCATTCACAGCCAAATATCAAATGGTAATCTGCCAACCAATCAAATTTTGCTAAAAATGGACCAAATATTTAAACTCGGCATACTCAAAAAGCACTTAAAACATATTTTGTGCTGCTCGGTAACCTTATATTATGTAATTTTCCTATTTGAATGCCTCCATAACGCTGGTCCTATAGAAAGAAAGGGCTGCTATGAAAGAGTCGAAGTTAATTTGACCAAAAATAATCTTTCACCTCCTGCTGGAAGAGAGGATGGTCAACAACTACTAATTTTTACTGGTCTACTATTACTATTTGAAAAGTGATCCGTGTTGGATGGATTGTGATGGCCTTGCATATGATCAAAGTTGCTAATGTCCAAGAGACTTCATATAAGATTTGTTTAAATTGCTTTTAAACTCTATAGAGAATAATTGCTTTAAGTGATGATAAAGAATTAAAGTTATTTATAAATGATTTGAAAGATCATAATTTCAAAAATATATGTAGTAACTCCCATTTTAACAAGATTATCAGAATAACTAGAATCTACAGGGAAGGTATGTTTTTGTAAATAGTGAGCTTATAGAAATGTTTTAGAATTAGTTTGGTTTATTTGGCTAAGGCAATGTGACATGTGGGCAATCTTTCAAGGGAGAAGCTTTTCAGGAGGACTTTTATGGGAAACTGGCTGCTATTTAAATGTTACTAACATGAAGAAAACCCAGAAAACACTACATGGCCAAATTATTGATGATGCATGAACCCACAACTAGTGTTCAGTGGTTTATCTAGTCAGCTACTGGTGGGCACTTATTAGAATTAAGAAAATACCTTTTCAAATGGTAATGGTAGACCAGTAGAAATTAGTAGTATCATCNGGAGAAATCATAGATCTTCTTGATCTATAAGTTATAGTTGGCTTATTTGGGCCCCCTCCACCTGGAGTCAGGGCCCCGCTGTCCGTATACCTACTACACGTAGGTATTGTCTGTGTATCCTACATTATTGTGTGAGCTATTACAGGTTTAGTAGTGTGGACCAAAGTGCAGTACAGGCTGCACAAACAAAAGTTATGCCAAGTTAGTGAGCTGGGCCGGGGTGCGGACGGGAGTCCGAATGATGCATCATAGGGCCCAGCTATGACGTCCCTGTCTACCGCATCAGGTACCGACCAGTCGATGAACAAGGCATAGTCTCTTTAAACCCTGTAGTGCCAATAGGCGGGGCAGGGTAAAGAGTTCCTTATGAGACGGGGTGGGCCCGCCCCTGTCGCCCCCACTACGGTACGCCACTGAAAAAAGAAAGTGTGCATTATAATCGAGAAAACGCGAGTATTGTATTAATCTTTAAAATATTGGTATTAAATCTGTCTTATAATATGACGATTCCTGTAAATCGGGTTATCAGATAAAAATAAAATAAAATACAATACCAATATAGCCCTATCGTTGAAAAAATTTGCTTATTTTTGCTCGCCTCAAGTTTTGCTTAGTAGTAATGGCTAAAATGTGCGCAAAATACGTACGGAAATACAGTATTACACCACCACCTGTATTGGACGACCACCTGCCTAAAAGACCACTTTTTGAAGGAACCGTGGGTAGTCGCCATAGACAGGTTTTACTGTATTGTATGCTGAAGGCCTAACATTGCAGCTAGGCCAGTGCGTGTGAACCTACTGACACAACTTTGTAGCTTTGTTATGTAAGAGATGTCTGAGGGTTGACATTGTGTGTCTATTATATATTAATGTAATATACTGACATAGGTGGCGCTTTGCATAATGACAATTGCCTTGCTTTTATCTGCTTTAACCAATGTGCTTTTATCTGCTCTAGGCCTTCAGCATACAGTAGTTAGCTCTCCTGACACTCCCCACCTATTTGCATTTGATAAAATGCACAAACCCGGTCAACAATTAAGGTCCTATTAGTGCCCACAGGACAGAAAGAGTTCAGAAAAGGGGAAGCATAATAATATTTAATAACAGCAACAAAAAGCATTGTACAATTTATAAACAATATTATAATTACAAACACAAAACAACCTTCGAAATTCATTTCTTTGCAGTTACTAAATAGCATCAATACAACATTTCTATCTTAAATTATTAATTAATTATATCACTAACTTTTATTATATGATACAAATCAAAATCTTTGTTTGCAGCAATAATATGAGGAATTGCAAATTAATTAAATTATTACTAAAATTATTAATTATATAATTTTTACTGTCTAACTTCTGTTTTTATGAAATTTAGATTCCAGAAGAAGGAGCTCAGACTGTACTTCATGCAGCTCTGTCACCAGAATTAGAGAAAATTGGTGGGAAGTATTTAGAAGAGTGTACCATTACAAACTCTAATGCTTATTCTTTATCGGAAAAACATCAAGAACTTCTTTGGAATTTGACTTGGAAATTATTAAAACCGTGGATTGATATGTGAATATTTAAAGAATTGTGTTTGATTTCCAGTTTCATGACCAAAAAACGTTGCTATTTATCAGTGAAATCTGATGTATCAAAGGCCAAATCCAATGGATCTCTTGAAACAATTTATTTTTCTACAAAAAATGTCATGATAAAAGCATTTTGTATTCTCTATATTTTTAAATTATAATTACATCAAGTAATTATTAAAGAAATGTGTAATGTGTAATTAGAGCATACACTACTTGGTCTTTTTCTTGTTTCATCCAAAGTACTGTAGCCCCTNATGGTGACAGACAGTACTGTACATTATTTATTTTTCTTATAATATAACATTTACTTAAAATGAAAATATTTTATGTAAATCTGAATTATATTAGAATAGATATTTTGTAATAATTTTCTCTTCCATATGTAGCTGGAATAATGTTTGCTCCATATGAAATAACTGAAAATGGCTACGAGAAACATTTTGCCGTTAATTACTTAGGTCACTGTTTGCTAACTAAACTCTTGTTTAAAAAACTCAAAGCATCTGGTTCAGAAGAAAAATTTGCAAGAATTATTAGTGTGTCCTCCAGTTGTCATTTTGTAGGAAAAATTAACTTTGATGATATTCAAAGCAGGTAAGATATAAAAAGATTGAGTTGTAATTTTACATAGTCTTATTTTTAATAATATACTCTTTTATATTACAAATAATTATACTTAGTGTGTTCACAAAGCAACTTCTGATCAAGGTGTTAGTAAAAACTGGTCCTCACTTCTCAGGTGTTATGGTATGATGACAGGTACAAATGCCATACTTTCACATATTTCACGATGTACAATGAGGGGGACATTTGTCCCAAACTGTGGGAAGGAGTATACAGGAATATTTTATCGGGTGAAGGCAGATCATGAAAATATGGGAAGTATTGGAAGTGTAGTGTGTATATTTAACATCTTGTTACTGCAATAACCAAGTGATGAAAGTCAGAGTTTTGCAAGGCATATATATGTATCTTTATATTGTATTTGATAGATATTTAATCATTTTATATTTTATTCGTATACAAAAATACAGTAGTATGATATAGAGGGGTATAAGATTGAACATTAATCTTTGTTTATACATGACAATAATTGTAAAAATAAGTAGTTAACAAGACTTTATTTTATTTTGAACAGTCAAGTGTATTCGCCTTATTTTTGTTATGCTCAATCAAAAGTTGCTCAAGTTATGTTTACGTACTCTTTGCAACGTTATATCTCATCACAGAATGGCTGCATCACCGTGAACAGTCTTCATCCTGGCGTTGTTTATACCAATCTGTATCAATATGTTTTTTGGGTAAATAAATGGACTGCATTTCTTTTTAGGGTAAGTCAATATTTTGTAATATTTAAAATGAAAACAAAAGTTAGGAGCAATTCCATCTTATTAAATAAACATCAAAGCTTTGCTTTTCTAGAGTTAGCAGAAAATAACATATTCTCACTCTTAGTCTATATCAATTAGACACATATATATGAGGGTTTATCACACCAGTGTGATAAACCCTCATATATATGTGTCTAATTGATATAGACTAAGAGTAAACAACGTTAAGGGCTAAAAGCAATTAATTATTCAATTAAACATATTCTCACATAATAAAACCAAGCACTTTTTGGCTATTAACATCCATCATCTGGAGTATATCTCCCTTAAACCTATTCTTCTAATGTAGTATTCTAAATAATTTGAAATTTAATGTTTATCTTTTTTAAGCAGACAACTTTTCACTATTTGCTGTCACTATGGATTAAAGTGTAGCAGTTTTTTAATTTATAGATTTTATACCTTATAATTTTTAAAACAAACCATATTTATTCTAAGTCACTAATGTGTTTGCATATATACATATATATAAAGTCTTATATACTGTATAGTATAACATTATAAGAAATATTCCTTTTAATCTTATATTAATACATACCATATTTTATTCAAAATCAGTATTGAAAAAAAATGGGCTTTATATTTTTAAAATAAAAAATGTAAAAAATTACAGAATATATTAATATACAGATTATAATCAATTTGAATTTTATAATAATAGTATCACTTGCATTTTTATATTTGAAGTCTGCAAGGCGGCTGCATTGTAAGATGTCGACTTACTGTCTTTAGGGATACGGATTTGATTTTTGTGATTTGTATGAACTGGGACATCATTCCCATTCCCAATTCTTGCTGGTTGACTCTGTCTTAGGTCAGGTTCATCAGTGATGAGCATTACTGAGGCTGACCAAAAGATGTATAGTTTGCTGGAGTCTTGTATTAATCAGTAAATTAGGTTTGAGAAAAACAGTTTTACAGATATAATTTTCAACATATAGGAAATAAAAATACTCCCTAAAGGAGAATCCAGTTTTTAGTGGAATTGAGGCAGACGTAAGCAGAAAGACTATCAACCAATGAAAAATATTATATTATCTATATTCTAATTAAATTACCATTATTATATTTTTTTTATTGACAAAGTATTATCAGATTACAAGGGAGAATGGTTGATGACCAAATGTCTGAGCAGTTAGGGTGGCAGCCTACTGCTCTGGAGAACCTGGGATCAAATCCAAAAAGTTGAAAAACTCAAGGAATTTTGGGGGCTGGTCCACCTGAATATGTTAGGTTTCATCCCTCACCACCTGGCCACCTCATTGTGGGACTTGCCAAATTCATAATGGGCTTGTTAAAAAAGGCCCTCTTAACAAATGCAAATAGGTGGGGTGTCAGGGGAGCTAATACAGTGAAAACTGCTTAGGCGACCACCTGCATTCGTCGGGCACCTGGCAAAACGGGCAAAAATTTCTGGCACGGAATAGTTTATCCATAGAGTCTTCGTATAAGTTACCTGTATTAAACGACCACCTTGTAACGCGACCGCGGGCATCGATTTTTGGTCCGAAACAACATACAACACCTATAATAAGCGACCACTTTCGCGAATGTATCTGGTCTAAACTATTGTAAGAACCCATCTCAACAACGTTTCCACCTCCTAATATAATGAATTAGTCTAAACTCTCGTTCGAACCCATCCCGGGCACTTCTCCCACCCTCGAAATTAGGTGCAGGTGTTAATAAATTAGTCTAGCAACANTCGAATATGTATATGAATATAATTATATAAGAAGTTAATTTATTATATTTAACAAGAGATGGCAGCAAGATGGCCTGTCTCATACCAAATTGCTTAGTAATCATTTAGTCTTATAGCCTGATAAAGAATCTGGCTATTCATTTGATATATATCATGATCTGTAGATAACTGTATGGTCACACCACTTCCTTTGTTTGTCTAAGTAAAAACTGTAAGAGTCCACTTTTTGCTGCTTTAGAGCTCTGATTGCATGTTACCAATTTTTCTAATAATGTGGGGAAAAAGACATGTTATCTGTTATATAGCATGGTTTCTGCCATTTTTTCACAGTAACTTAACTAAAATGAATACAGATTACTAAGGTAAGTAAATATTTGTATCTAAAAGTATAAATAATGTAAATTTATACTGTATTTTATTTTATTTGAAATTGAGAATAATGCCCAAATATTTTGTACCTGGTTGTAAGGTTGCACTGTATAAAAAAGTGATGAAAAACATGAAAAAAAACAATTTTTTAAATTAAAGCCAAAGATTATTCAATTGATTATTACTGAAGTAGATAAGTTTAATACTTGTACATCAGGCAGCTGTTCTGAAACAGATAATGAAAGAATCTCAGTTATTGTAAGTTTGTTGGAAATATAGTTGTTCAGGATGATATTTCCACAGTTCTCAATTTTTTCAAGTTGCAATTTAGGCTTTGTCTGATGCACAAAAATAGGAGGCATTATGAAACTGATTTCATCACAATGTGCTCAATTTTGCATTCAATATCTCCATGTGCATCTGAGAAGCTGTAAAACGTTTCTGTTGCCGCATTCTAGTACCATCAAAAGTGTCTGTTCACAGCTAACTTGCAATCCAAGTATCAAATATAAAAATGAGTGTTTTATACAGTACTTCCGTGACAAAGCTGAAACATTTGATGTTCATGTAACATCATGATAAAAGCAACATGTTACATGATGTTCCATGATAAAAGCATGATGTTACTTCAATCAATTCTTATGATTGATGAAATATACATTAAACAATGGTGGAAATACTGTCAGTTTAGCAAGAATAGTAATTATGTTGCTATGACAGCATATGTATTTATGATACAATGCATTTTATCCCCAAAAAGTTGTTCATATATACTACCAGTAAATAAGCTTAATAGTAGATGTCTTGTACACTGTTACTAAAGATGTTATCATTGCTCTAAAATCAATTGGCTTTAATGTGGTGTGTGTTGTAAGTGATGATAATGCCTTGAATTGTAAAGTTCTTTCAAACTCTTGCGACACTGTTGGTTTGCTACAGTTAAGTAATTACTGTATTGATACTCACCAAATTTTCTAGACTGAAAGTAGATTTTGTCAATACAAACAGCTGGCAGGTAGTATCATGTTTCTATTCAGAAGTTGGGGAAAAAATCACTTATCATCAACACTTGAATTAAAAATTAGTTACAACAAAGAGAATTACCATTATTGAAATACCAGATGGAGAACTGAAAGATGATCTGGATTACTGTCAGACCAGATGTTTATTTTAATAATCTGAATGTGACAGAGATTGAGGTGAATAGTATTGATATTTGTGTTGTAACATTTATAACAGGTTATTGCTGTCATTCCTTAATCAAAAACTGAAATGCAATGTGTGTCAAGACTTTTTATTTATGGATGGATTAAACTGCCTCATACGACAGTAGTTTAATTTAGTGTGGGGAAGTTTGAAATATCCAAAACAAATCCCCATATTAATTACTACTTACACATATATAATTCTTTAAAAAAATGTTCGACAAAGATAACGAATCAAAATTTATGCAGCTGAATAATCAATATTTAACATACATTATCATGCAAATAATTTCTTCAAACCATGCTTTTCTTATTCTTCATTCTTGTGAAAAGCATACAACAAGTTAAATGCCACTGACAGAAATGGCGTATTACCCCAATTTTACATGCCGTGACCATAGTTATTTATAGATCGTGGTATATATATTATATATATGAAACATCACTAGAGCAATCTCTTTATTTATTTATTTTTTTATGAGGAAGTCATGACAGCTAGAAAAACTTCGCTGCCGATAGATACATTACATTTGCTTTCATGTAAAGAAAGTTTTGTTTGGTTTGATACAATACATCA